CACCATTATTTCCTTATGGATCATATAGAGAAAGGTGATGTTGTATTTGAGCATGTTGATACCAAGAATCAACTTGCGGATATTTTCACAAAACCACTTGCGACAGAGTCTTTCTTTAAGATCCGTAGAGAACTGGGTGTTCTCGATATCTCAGATCGTGTTTAAGATTTCATGATTGCATGCTCTATATATATATATATGCTTGTCTATATTTTTGTCTAACAATATTGAGAAGATCAAGCTATATGTGAGGGCATCTATCATCGATCGTCATTGAAGTAATATCGTTCCTCTCTAGAAAAATACTCTTGATCATAAATTTGTGTAAGATAGTGTGTCATTTTGTGTGTTAGATTGATGTTTATTCCATAGTTAAATATATTTTTATCCATTTGTAAGTTTGAAATATGTGTGAGCCTTTTATTTATTAATGTTTGATGTATAAATTACTTAAAAAGTGCATTTTACACAATTTAACTGTGTGAGTCGACCAAAATAGGTCATAGGTCGACTTATGATTATGCCATTTTTTACGTGTTTTGGATCGGGTATGCACAGGTCGACACATGGGTCGACTCAAACTGTGTGCATTTCACATTGTCAAAATTTCATCAGTATGCATCGACGTATAGCCTCTTTAGGTCGACGCGTCGCTGAAAAACTCTGAAAATCTTGAAAATTGCAGTGCCTATCCATGTTGATTGACCCATTTATTGCATTTCTTCATTCAATGTATTCAAACATTATCATTTTCATCTAGATATCTCTCTTCCACTTCTCCTCTCCCAAAAGCCTCTACAAAACCTTAAAGAAAATCTCAACAAAGTCCTTCAAGATCACAAGGTTTCAATTGAGTTCTACATCATCAATTCAAATTCAACCTACTGTTTATCTTCTCCATCAGGTAAATCTCATGGCTACAAGAAGAGTCACCGAAAAAAGAACCACATGAGCTATGACATCATAAGTTGGTACTTCCCAACCTAGGACAAGTATTTCAGTAAATTCTCTTTCTCTACTCTCTACTGAATTTGCTGAATCATATTAAAAGAACTTTAGTAAAAGGTCTATTGTGAAACAATTTGTCTACTATCACAAAACTGCCGAACGAATGCACATTCAGGAAGTTCTCGAACTTCTGGATTTTCAAGAGTTTAATCTGTTTTTGGAATGTGACACAAAGTATAATGAAGATCTCATTTGATTGTTCTATACAGGTCTTTAGGGAAAATTTGATGGTTGAGTACAATTGTAAAATAGACGATATAAGGATTTCGGTAAATGATAGAGTTTGGAAATATTTATTTAACATGTGTCTACTCTCTGCTCCACTTCTTAAGGTCACTGACACTATAACTGCTGATGTTTATGAGTTTAAGGAAGCCTTGAATTCAATGTTGAATAAACTCTTTATTGATCATATTATGGCTAGTGATTTATTTCCTAAGTCGGTTACTACTGGTCGGTTTAAGCCAGTTGATAGAACTTTGCAGAGGATAGTATCTCACATCCTTCGTCTTAAGAAGGGAGTTTACTCCATGGTCGACAAGGCCGAGGCACACTTGGTGTACATTTTGAAAAAGAAAATAAAAATTAGTTGGACTCATTATATTGCGAGCAGGATTTATGCTTTAAGGGATTCTGGCAAATGTACTGCTTTATCCTATGACTTGTTCATTCAAAGTGTGCTTAACCATGCTGATGTAGTTATCCAAGGGATTCCTTATATATCTTTGACAACAGATCAAGAATTCTGTCAAAAGACCTTGACAATGATGGGTTATCTGTGGGATAAAGAAGAGAAATGGTATAGGTTCATAGTGAAGGCCTCTAGCTCACGGGTCCAAGAGTCAGATGAAGAGGAAGAAGAATAAGCCGTTCATGCAATGGAAACTAACCACAATGATATCAAACAAGATAATAGTGGCTAGTTGGATCAATCACCTTCTTTGGATCCCTATTCAAATCGAGGATGGGGTGAGTGGAAACAAACAAGATGGACCTCTCTCGGTTTAGCCTATACACCCTTAACAAACAACTGGAACCAGCCAGAGTCCTATTACATGCCTCCTTCTCCTCCGCGCCCTCAACAAAACAATGAGGAAGTTCTTGAGATGTTGAGAAACATGCAGCTTCAACAGCAAAATTTTGCTATCGCTCAAGAGGAACGGTACACGGCGTTGCAGAACCAGATTCAAGCTTAGACCGACAACTTTAATTTGTTCGCCACCATTGTCATGGACTGTTTTGATACTATGGTTGAAACTGTTGCAGGTCACAATCGAGCTCTTACAACAAGTTTCAATGTTCTCAACAGGGTTGTTTTGGAACTCACTGAGCGAATGAATGAGCAACAACCTCCACCACCTCCAGACTATTATTTCAGAGGGAGGGGCCATCCATTTAGGGGGAGGAAACCTTGAGGATGATGTTGTTTAGCTGTAGTGCATATCATGTTATCTTTTGTTCATCTCACTTTATGCTTACCTATTTTTATGTTTGTTTGAGACTTGGAGATATTTTGGAGCATGGTGTTTTTTTAATGCACTTCACTTTTTCTATATGGTTCTTGTTCTATTTATCTTTATATTTCTTCCTTTAACATCACTTTATATGGATGTTTGTTAATGTATGTCTGTTGCAAAATATGTGATTGTGTTCAATTAGATATACTATGTTTTTCTTTGACCTTGTACTTCTCTCTTTTTGATGTTATTAAAGGGGGAGAAGAGACTAAGAAAAAGCAAGAATTCATCTTTAAAGATTGATAAGATTTTCATATTGTCTCTCGGAATATTGCATAAAATCAAAGGGAGGATGATACTACTCAAAGTACTCAATTTTGCTACTGTTTTGTCATCATAAAAAAGGGGGAGTATGTGAGGGCAAGGTAACTCAATCCTTAATTTAATGATGTCAAAAGGTGTCTAGTTAGTACTTTGTATTTTGGACAGTATCATCGAGTCTCATCTGCATTCATAGTTCTCTAGTGCATGAAAATATTTCAAAAACATGAGTCTATTCATATAGAAGAACATCATATGTGTTTTGTGTGTATTTGATCCTTTTGAGAGACTTATGTGTGCATATGTATTGTTTAGGTAGACCAAAACATGCTCAAAAAGTCATTTTTGGAAGTTTCGAATGCTTGAGTTGACTCAAAGCCCGACTTAGGTCGACTCATGTAATGTGGATTTTGAGCTTTTGCTCTCAGGTGTGCTCGCGTCAACCCTCTGGTCGACTCATACTGTTAGCATTTGAATTTGTCAGTTTTGAGAAAGTTTGTGTCAATGCATGGACCTGTTCCGATCGACGCACAGAGTCAATTTTTGCACAATTCTAAAATCAGGTGTGCTCAGGTCGACCCCCTCTTTACTTAGGTCAACTGTTCGCTCGAAGCACTTTATTTTTATGATCTGTTTGATTTTCAAATTGCTGTTATGGTTGTTATTTGGTCTTAGCTTTATATATATTCTTTTTGGCTCATCATTTGAAGATACAACAAGAAAATTGAAACATTGACACTGATTTTCTCTCATCATCTTCATCCTCTTTCTTGCATTTTCTCAACAACTACACATAACAATTTTTGTTGATCATTCTGCATCATTGAGGTGATAACATCCAAACATAGGATATTGTATCGGGTTTGGGTTGAGAGATCGGTGGATTTTTATTGAATAAAACCGTTAGGGTTTTTCCTCCAAGATTCTTGAGGTTTTGGGAGGGTTTTTTGCACAAATTATTTCTTTACAGATTCAGCCGAGCGAAGGTGATTGAAGAACGGGTGGTTCGTTTAATCTAGTAGCAGTAACCGGAGGATTGTGTAAGACATATTTGGGTTTGAATTGTGTGTGATTGAAATCAGCCGGGCTAAAGATTTGAAGACCGGTGGGTTGTTCAGACAAGTAGTTGGAATCAAAGGTTTATTCGACACATTCGAGGCACTTGATTCGACTTGAATTAATGGGAGAGAAGATATAGTATCAACATCAACATCTAGTCTTGAGTGTGTGGTTACTATTGCTTCTCTTATACAAACTTTTGCAACAGTTTAATATAGATCTCAATTCTATTTCTAGAATTGAGGGCAGACGTACCCCTAGCGAGGACGAAGGGGGAACTGCCTCAACAAATTTGGTGTTGTTCTCTCTTTCGCTATTTTTCTATTTCTGAATTGTTAACATTTTTGCATAATCAATTGTTCGATAAAAAATATGGTATAGAGTAGTGTTGAATAGTGTTTTGAAAACTCATTACAATCATTTTGATTGTGATTGAAAATTTTTTGCACTACCATTACTTAGAGAATTTCACTTAGAGTGTTTTGCACACCAAGTGTTCGAAAAATTAATCGCACACAAACTAGTTGTGCTTTTGTCAATTTGAGTTTAATTTTCACAAGCCATTGGAAATTGCACAACCTTAAGCGATTCTAATTGTATTGATTGGCATTCAAAATATTGATTCATTTTCTCATTGGATTCGATATTCCATCTTGGCTTATCGCATATCCAATATTTTTAGTAACGATTCGTTTAGATGACCTTGTTACTCGGTCGCTTTCGTATCAATTTTAAAAACCAAAATTGTTTTAAGCACCGACTCTATTTATGAATTAGTGATCTATTCAACCCCCTTCTAGATGATTGTCGTTGTTTAATAATCCCATGACTTCATCATGTGCACACATGTCCCTAGTTTGGGGTCTGCTTGGCCAGTAGCAGTAGCAGGTGTATCATCAACATGTGAATCCTCAATTTCCAAAGGTGCGTCAGTAGTTAAACCTGGTCCAGAGCATCTGTCTTTCCTGAAGATACTTTTTAGCCTTTCATTACTCCTACTAGGTGCTTGAGTTTTATCTTAGACATCTTCGACTTTCCAATTTTCTTCTTTGGGGTAGGATTAATTAGTTGAGACTGTTGAGTTTCTTGTGGTTGATAAGAAACTTCACTAGGAACCAACTCAGAATCAAGCATGTCTTCAATTATGTCATCAATTTATGGATCATAGAAAGGATCCTCTACAGTTGGTTCAGCAGGTTCAGAAGTGAGATTAGGTTCAGCAGTTTCAGCAGGTGCTTGCTCTACAGATTGTTTAGATATGTTGTTATTATTTGAGGTCTCACCATTGGTTCTGGGTATTTTTCTCTGCATATACACAAAGATAATACACAAACAACAATAATGAATACAAAACAGTCAATGCAATAAAAAACAATGACAATGACAAATAATATACCTTTCTCTTTAATGCATTAGTGTCTTGTATTATGCTTTGGCATTTCCTAGAGTTGTGCCCAAATTTATCACACTTTGTGCACCTATAAGCCACGCCAGGGCTCCTCATCCTTGATCCTGTTTCATCATGCTCCCTCCACGTTAATTTTTTTGGCCTACCTGGACCCTTCTTAAAACTTGGGGGTGGCATTTTTCAACTTCCACAATAAGTTGTAGCCCATTGAATGGATGATGAACTTGCCTAACCTCACCCATACTCCATGTTGGCAACCAATGACCACTCAACATCACCTCCTTATCTAGTCTATTTCTAGGTATTGGCATAACACTATGTTTCCATGTATCTAGTTTAAATAAACTTGTAGCAATCTTATTCATTAGATAGTTCCTAATCCACTCACACATTGTGAGGAATGGCTTATCCCTATCTTGTAAAATAGTTCTATTAAAAGACTCACTAAGATTGTTCATTAATACATCACATTTTGGGTAACAGCTAAAAGAATGCTTACACCATAGTTTTGTAGGGACTACCATAAGTCATTCCCATTCCTTCTTGTCCAGTTGCTTTAGCTAGTCATCTTCTTCTCCCATGCTTGGTAATAAGTAGCTTTTGCAAACTTCTTCTTGCAGCTCCACCTCCAAACTTCTTCTTGAAATTAGCATACAGGTGCCTAAGACATATCTTGCATTCAAACATTTCTTCAAATAAACTAACCAGTCCCTACAAAAAATTTTATAGAATCAACAGTTAGATGGAGGTATAATACAACATAATTAAATGAAACAATATAAAAGTACCTTTTGTTGGTCTGATATAAATACATATCTTCTTTCCACACGAATATCTTGAAGAAGAAACTCTAGAAACCATTTCCAACTATCTTTTGTCTCTATCTCAACTACACAAAAAGCTAAAGGGTAATACTGATCATTTGGATCTTTTGCTACAACAACCAACAATTTCCACCATACTTTGTTTTGAGGTGGCACCCATCAACTCAAATGAAAGGTCTGTAACCTTTAATAAAGCCCTTTTTGCATCCATCAAAACAGAAATATAATCTCTCAAATCTTGGTGGAAGACTTGGTATTGTCCTCTCCATGTTAATCTTAATATTGTTCCCCATGTTGTAACCCGAAATTTGACCTCCTCTTTTTGCCTTTGCATAAGCATGTGCATTTGCACCGCTGGCATACACATCCGTTTTTTCTCTATGATTCTTTATTGCAGGAACTTTCAGGTTTTTCAAGTCTGATTAATCACATCCTCCCAAAGATATCACATCATCAAGACAAGTACAAACTAAAGGTTTCTATACCTATTCATCAGAGCAAGAGGTCGAAGATCAGAGCCACAACCACATCATCATTTTTCAGGAAAAACTGGGCAAGTTTTAGCCTGGTTAATCGATTAATCATTTGCTAATGTAAATGGGTTAATCGATTAACCATTGCAAAATTTGTAGAATCTGTTGCATTTTCAGAACAATAACTTCTACTTCTTATTTTTGGGGTCTACATAGTTCTAGCATTGTGTGGAACATTCTAGACAACTCTAGACACTTCAAGACATTTCTAAACACTTCAAGGCATTTCTCTAATACATTAATTAGGATTGAGACCATCATGTTGCTTCATTTCCAAGCATGTGAGCCCTTAGATTCAAGTTTGCATTGGGATGGTTACTGAGTCAACTACCTAACTAACTGAGTTAACCTTCAACTCAGTGAGTTAAGGCTAACTAACTCCAAGGCTAGTTCCAAGGCTACATGTAACACCCCATTCCCCAAAATAAAATAAAATAAAACAAATAAAATAAACACATATCAGAGTTTTTCCCTCAAAAATGGGATGTCACATTTCACCAAACATTTCTTAAATGATTTTCCAATAAAATTGCAGCGGAAAAAGAAGTCCGTCATAAACACATAATATGTATATATACATCATCAACATCATCATATGTACAACAAGTCGGCCATCTGCCCAAAATGTACAAAACATCATCATCATATTCAACACAACAAGATACGCCACATGGGCACACACAATCATCAATAAACATGAAAACTCCCAAAAGCCCCGGTGTTACGTATCAGAGCAATCCCTACGACATCACCACAATCCAAGCTAGCTAAACACCTAGATTGTATGTACTTCTGAAGAAGCACAGACCACAACAACAACAAAGGGGTGAGAAATCACGATCAAATATAAACTGGTAATAATGTACATGAAATAAAGGCAGAAACATATAAAACGTCATTTCATATACAACACATTCGGACCTACTGTCCCACCATCAACAATCACTACACACAATAATGCCACACATGCCACTCACACAACGATATGCGGTACCGACTCATAACAACGATGGGCACCGGGCCATCAACCCTCCACAAAGGAGCACACATCACTGATGGGCACTGGGCCATCACCATCCACAAAGGAGCACACATCACCGATGGGCACTGGGCCATCACCCTCCTCACAGGGAGCACAACAATAGTATCGATGGACACCTGGCCATCACCCTCCTCACAGGGAGCACAAAAACAGTATCGATGGACACCTGGCCATCACCCTCCTCACAGGGAGTACACAACACAACACGCCATGCATAACCCCAATGCACGCACACCACAACAATCACACACAAACAGCATACACGGTCCTCTGACCACATCTCATCATGCATCATACATACATATATCACACGTCACATACACGTCTAGCACACAAGGTGCAATCCGATCCTACCGATCCATCCCTCACACAGCATAAAAACACTACGCACACAGGCGTATTCAATCCTACGGATCCATCACACATCTCATATAACACATACACATACACATCTTTACATATCACATAATCCACCGATTTTGTCCAATGCGATAAACGCCGGCCACACAGCCCTCATAACCCTCAACATAGTCTCAACAGTCAAATATCATCACGACACATCAGACCGATCACACTCAGCGCCAACAGCTGTACACAGCTCTCAAAAACCAAAACCTGCTACGTTCGCTACCTGCTCGCTACGCGAGCTCCTAGCGAATTCTCGCTACACGTTCGCCTAGCGAACCTCCTCGCGAGTCACACTTCTGAGCCACTGGAAGTGTTCGCTACCACTTCGCTCAACGAACCTGCTAGCGAGTACAGAAAAACAACCACTGTAATGGCTCGCTACACGCTCGCTACGCGAGCTGCCAGCGAAGGCTCGCTGCGCTTTCGCCTAGCGATGGGCTAGCGAAAGTCTGCGATTTCTGAAAAATAAAACTGCTGCTCAGAATTCAGCAGCCCTCCCACTCTCCAATTTTCATCGGGACAACACCAAAATCATCGGCTTAAGGTCCTACCACCTAACTACAACATCCAAACTCAGTTTTACCCGATAAACCCTCATATCTGCTCAATTTATCAACTTCTGGCATAAAACTACGCATTACCCGGAAACCCCAATTCACCCAACAAACTCACTACATCACATGCAACAGTTTCTAACACAATAATCACAAACATATCAGAATCAGCAACATGCAAACAACATCAATTCATCATCGATCATGGGGATTAGGGAATTCCCCTTTCTACCACATATTCATGCACTACCAAAATTAACCGATCAATTCCCCCCCCCCCCCCCCTTACCTCAAATTCGTTTAGATGATGATGAAGCTTCACAATCCGCAGCCTTGATGCACCCTTCCCCGCTCTTGATCGCTCTTGCCCTTGCTGCTTCAACCGTGTTCTTCCTTCCACTCTTTCACTTTCTATTTCCACAAATGTCAATTCTGCCCCTCATCCCAAAAATATACAACTCTTATATTCCAAATAAATAATATTCTCCACATTTTCTTAATTCCATAATTAATAATCTTATTCCTTTTAATTCTAAAAATCCCATAATTATATTTTACTCATATATATTAATATTAGTAATAATAATAATAATAATAATAATAATAATAATAATAATAATAATAATAATTAATAGCAATATTAACATTACTACTAATTATCACATTTTATCACTGTATATTAATATCATAATTTCTTGATTCTTCAAATAATTCCACACAAAACACGTCAACGGATACAATAACACCGAAACTAAAAATAATTAAAATGGGCGTTACACTACATCCAAAGCTCACTCCGAATCTAGCAACTCTGAAGCAAAACTCTATATAAGCAAATCATCACCATTTCACAAGGGATGAATTGATTCTCCCAAATTTTCACATTTGATTACACTTAATTCTCTCACATTTTCTCTGAATTTTCTACAACTTCTACTCATCATCTTCTTCACTTTCATCCAAAACCTCACTAGAGCTCAAAACCTCCATAAAAGAGTAGAAACTTCTTCATTATAAGTGTTTCCTCTTGAGATTAACCATCATCATCTTGCTAATTTTTCTTACTTACTTGGAGTTTTATTACATTTAGATTCATCTCAAGTGATTACTTCAAGCTTATTCGGTCTAATTTCAATTTTGGAGTTTTCGTCGGAATTTGCTCAGTTTCGCTACGGTTCGATTGTAAATTATGTTTTCTATGGATTTCTTTGAATAAATTCATCATAATCCCTTTGTAATAACATCCAACGAAAATCTCATCCTTGTGGGTTGGTTAATTCTCACTCTTTTCACTGTTTTGATCGTTACCGTATCGTTTGCGATGTAGTTTCGACATTTTTCTCATTTGCGAATTGATTATGACATGATTTAATCTTCATTCTTGATGTGCTAATTAATTCCATAAGTGATTATTTTCTATTTTTGGACTTGATTTTCGTGCATGATTGTTTGCCCTAATATGTGAAGGATTTCACAAATCAAAATTAGCCAAAAGTGCTTTTGAAACATCAAATTTCAGACTATGTTCCAGTGTTAATCTATTAACATTTTTGCACTAGCAAAGTGTTAATCGATTAACCTTGTATTTTTTAGAAAAATATTTCTGTTTTAAAAGGGTTAATTGGTTAACACTTTTGCACAGGTAAAGTGTTAATCGATTAACACTGCTCCAGAAGGCCATTTTTGTGCATTTTTCATGTGTGTTTGGCATTTCTTCCTCTTTCAACTCCCATGGATTGATATGTTTTATGTTTATAGATGTTTTAACTTTTGTTTGAAGCTTATGCTTGTGCATTTTCCAATGCCTGATTTTATC